CCATAAATCAGAAAAAAAGACAAGGAGAAGGGAGATAGATAATTCTAGCTTGTTCAACATCGAGGTGGCTACTGAAGCCTGATCTATACTCTTCGTTTTTCAAGATCTAATCTGCTATAAGATATAATTTGTGACATAATCGTTATTACACTTTTTTTAGGAATAGTAATTCGGAAGGAAGCGTCAAGGACGCCGATGTGATCAGTTCCACCGAACGAAGGGTAATTTGCATAGAGACATGTTGTCTGAAGAGAAACTTAAACACACTCCGAATGAAAAGAAATTTTAATAAAGAAACATCACAACTGTTTTGTTATTACCACCAATGCAGAGAACGGCCCCAAAACCTTCAACATCGTCACTGTTGAAATGAATAGCGCGAACCAGCTCGTGGAACCTTCAAAGACTAATGTCTCATTCCGTCAAGAGCGGTCGAAGCAATCAGGTCTACCAATGAGTCAGAAATTTTTACATTCCTATAGCGGTCTACTGATTAGTTTAATTGTTTTTATATTACTACAGTTTTTTAAATTGCACTGTATATTTTTCAATTCATACTTTTGTAACTGATATCAAGACGAATTGAACGATCTGATAAAACATGACGCCGAAATGACCTTGAGGATTGAAATTTGAACTGAATGAAGAGAATTTCATCGCGGAAAAGTATTTAATTAGAATTAATTTTATATATTAACTGAATTATGCTTCAATATTTGTTTTATAATGTTATGATCGTTTAAGAATATGTTAATACAAAATTCAGCGAATATTGACTCGGCGCTTACATTGTTCCAATTGACAACATACAGCAATTAATAGAAAGAATTCACACAGCTTTTGACACAGTTTGTTTGGAAAACATCGTAGCTGACACAAATAGCAATTTATTTCATTGAGGAGAGCTGTGTTTTAAGGAAAATGGATCAGACTTTCACATTTCAGCAGATCTTTGAAATCGTTTTGACATTGGTGTTACGAGCCGAGGGCTAGTGAGTCAATTGCGTGACCGAGGATTGTTGGTAGCAGGGAAATCATAGATGAGCCAGTATCTCTTTCACCACTGGGTGCTTCGATTGAAAGTAGGGAATGATTTTACCTTGTAACTCTTTAAAAAGTAATTAAGATACACTTCGAGCGGTAAAAGTGTACTGCTATGGGAATGTTCTAGTACTGTAATTTCAAAAGGATGTGGTCGTTAAAGAAGTTTGAATTCAAAATAAAGGAAACCACTTACAATATATTCTGCATATTGAATCGTGGAATCTAAGTCGCGTTCTCTGGGTGTTAACGCACTGAGAAATGCAGAGGTAGTTCTAACTGTAATTATACATACTGATTAAATTACGTTTGAAAGGGACCATGAACCCGATGTTGTTATTTATCTCTCATCATGACTTGACTCGAAATGAACTCGATGATGAGCAAATTGGTGGCCCTTATATACCAAAAAATGGACTAAACATGGTGGTAGGGGTACGTGTATGCGCTTACTAGATTTCTTAGTTGGTGAACCTCCGTGAGGAACTTGACTTTTTTTGAATATACAAACGATCTCACCTAGAGCAGCATACAGCTTCCAGAAACAGGAAAAGAATCATGCAGGAAAACTCAGTACGTAACATTGGTTACAAGAATATTAGTTCAAAAATATATAATGTAATTTAAGGATATATTCTCTGTGAAAGTCGCAAAAAATTATCAGTTTTTACGAATTTCTTTTTAATAACGGTTAATATTTTCAGTTTTTTGTAGCTTATTTAATTATTTGTTGAATATACATAATGATTTTTTATACAGTGTTATTACATTTTTTCTTGGTATTTCTCGGTACAAAATAAACACATGTCTTGAAAATCTCATTATAGTGTTATGAGTGATTAAAACACTCAGGATAATTATGTTGTTATCGCCTAAACTAGAATAATATTTTTATATTGAATTCATCATAGTTTTTTATTTACAAATTATTGAAAGAGAAACAAATTCTGGAATTTGCTTGTTTCACCGTTTCCCATTTTGCTAATATTTAATATAAATTATTTATTCTATGTCCGACGATAACGATAAGCATACTGATTAATAATATTTTTTACTTTCTTATTTCAGTCCACCCTGAGTGATCCAATCGTTGGCACCACCAAGATACGATTTTTAAGATACTTAATTATTCTAGACCAAGAAATACTGAGAAAAAATTAATCAACACTGTCTAAAAAATTATTATGAATAACTAAAAAATAACTAAATAAATTACAAAAAACTGAAAACCTTAGCCAATATTAAACAAAAATTCATGAAAATTGATCATTTTCTACCCTCACAAGGAAGTATCCTCTTAAAAATCCTAATGCAACCTTAACTTTTTAACGATAGAAAAGCTTTTCGAAAATTGTATTGCTAGTTGTAGTCTATTCAAGGAAAGAGACCACTCTAATGAGTAACAAAATTTTGTTTTTCTGTTTTAATTTCCTTAAAATATCATGTAAAAGATTTTGAGAAAAGGATTTTTCAAAATTCAAACATCCGACGAAGTTATAGCAATGTG